GCCTACCCAACAGCACTGCGAACAGAACGTGCTCGCTGCCCCATTTGATGGACATGCTGTGCAGTTTCAATTTTCCACAGTAGTCCAAGTACGTGTTCAGTAACAGGGAGGGAGGAAAGCCGCATGTCTTCAGATGCCAGGAATCTGTGAAGCCCAGCTGGTGGTAATCATGGAGTCAGAGATGTCAATGTACTGAATCATGCATGCAGATCATACAGCCTCCAGGAAAGCAATGAGATTGTGACATGAAATGAAGGGCAATACGAGACTAGGGCCGAGGTGCGGCAGCTCAGGGTCAGAACGGTCAGAACCATTCCAAAGAGATAGCTGAGAGTGTTGTGATCAGCCTCCAAGAGAAGCTTGCCAAACATCAAGCCAGGACAGCGGACATGATGACGAGAAGGCTGGCCCGGCCCAGAAGAGCAGACCGTTCTCGATCAAAACATCAGTTCCTGGAGGGTAGTTCTGCAGTTTGGAGCAAGCACTGCCGTCTTCAAGTCGCAACCGGGCCCTCAGATGAACCTACTCCTGCCCTGCGCTGCTGCCAGGATATACACCGTTTAAAGGAGTGCAGTGATGCCGAGTCCGGCAGCGAGCACGTGGCTTGGCTGCACAGCCATGCATTGTCATGTGTGGCCTGCAGAACTATCAGGCATCAAGTAGCAGAGAGATGTGGACGTTACTTCAGAAGCTGATGGACTCCTCGGCTTAGTTGCTGTTCTTCAGGGTTAGGGTGTAAGATTGATTCAGCAGCCTCCCGCCCATTGCAATCACAGCGACATGTGCACTGATTCTGGATTTCCGATGCTCCAACTCAGCCATGGTTGTTACTTGTCAGCCATCCGCATAGACTCGTGCACTTGAGTGCACGTTCTGGCAATGCGAGATCTTGCTTCACACGCTGAATGTGAATCCTGAATGGAAGCCCAGGTCCAGGTCACTTTTTAGATAGCCCACACCCTTAGAACAGATACAGCAGCATCTCCCACGCTTCTGAGTCAGCCACAGAGGTTTCGCTGTAGCTCCTTGGCAAGCCTTCGTTGATGTCAGGCGAGGGCCATCTCACAGGTCTTCTTAGCACAGTGTGTGATGCATGTGAGCTCAAGTCTCTGATGCCATGATAGAAAGCAGCCCATATCGTTTTTTTCATCTCTAGGATGCATTGCATCTCCTTGCGCTCAGCATTAGTTGCAGCTTTCCGAAGTACAGGCTTTATTTGTGTTCAACACACTCTAAAGTTTCACTTCAACGGCAAAATACATGTTTCTGCAACTACCAGATGTGCAAGCTTTCAATGGACGGTGAGATTGTGATCTTAATTGATTAAGTCCTGCCTCATAAGAACAGATCGAGCGAATTGTCACCCATGTTTATCTTGCACCCCTCTCGCACATAAAGTAGCGTGATCAAAAGGACTCAAAGCCAACACACAAGAGCCACCAAGAAGTCAAGAAGAATAGACGTAACCGAGGGTCTAAATATCTTAATCCTGAATCTGCAAAGCCGAGCAAGTCGCAGGCTGCCGCTTTGCAGAAGTGACCCTGAGCCTTCAGCTCCGCTGCATGGATGTTTAGAGTCTCTTCCATTTTCATCCAAGCTCAAATCCATAATCTGTTCCTCGAGATAGATTTTAAGATTTGCCCACAATTTTGGGCTGGTACAGTAAGCTGCGGCCATTCATTGTGTTTTACAGGATGGATGATGGAGACGCTTCACAGAGGAGGTTATGAAGGCTTGCACCACGTCTAATCAAGGGAAAGCATCTACAAGGGCTCCTGCTAAAGCACCCCCAAGCAGCAGATGAATTATGTGGACCAGAAGCTACCAGCACAGCATAAGAGTTTGTGCAATGGCACAGCTGCGTGCTTTTCTCATGAGGATCTTGAGTTTAGTCTCCTGCTGGCTCCTGGACGAATGTCAGATCCAAACCAATCCATAGACTGCTCATACTCGCACCGCGCTTGAGCTTCCAAGAAGAAGCGCGTGTGAGAAACAGCGGAATCAGCTTGAAAGAGAGACCTTTTTGTGGCTGTGGCTAACTAACCTGTATGGGGAGTGATGCTCTTGTCAGAGGTCCCCATGCCTTCCGAGAATGGACCTGTGACCTTGGCCTCCTTGTGACCTGCCACTACGTAAGTTTCCTTGATGCCGAAAGGCGGTCACGCAAGCTTTCACTACATGATTGGAATCTCGCATTCTTCGGGGGAAGGTCTGGGATGCACGCTGGTGGCTACCAGAAAGGGGTTTGTTATGCTGCTTACATCCTTGCCAATGCTTGCGTGTCCTTATCCAAGGCTCAAACACCGTTCGTTCTGGTTCCAGGAATCCTGACATGAGGATGGCTCAGCATGTTCCCAGCATCTGAAGGAGCACACCTCTTAACCTGCTCAAGCAACGCCGTGCAAGAATAGAATTTTACATGTCACTAGAGCTGTCTAGATGCCGCCTTTGGCTAAATTCGCCGAAGGAGGCAGGCCATGCCCTCTTGGCGCCCCGCGCGCAGTCTTGCAGTGCCGTGGGTGAAACTTTATGTCGGCAAATTCTACCAGCTCTTGCGATTCCATTTCGTGACTTGTACATTTCATCAAAACTGAAGGTGCTGCCGCTCCTGATCGCTCTTCTTGCGCCACTGGCTCTGTCTCAGGCCAGGGCCAGGGAAACCTCAGAGGCGCCACGAACCCCAACGCAAACGTGTGCGGCAGGCGTGCCGAAGATGGTACGCGCAATGCGCAACACAGTTCGCAGAACTTACATTATATTGCGGAACGCCAACTCCTCTGCTCCTCTCTAGTCCTCTTCACCTCTCCACTCTCCATGCCGTCTCTTCCACTCCCTGTACTCCTCTCCCCTCTAGTCCCACGCTCTCCCTCTCCTCTCAACTTTCCTCTCCACTCCTCTCCAAAAGCGACAACAGTTACAAGGATCGCGACCCACGGCTGCCGCATCCCTTGACGACACTTACAGGGATCGTGAGCCCCAGGGGTCCATCCCTGTGAGCGTTGGCACTTCTGACACGTGACTGTCTCAAACGGACAACAGTCACACTGATCGCGACCCTTAGGGCCAAAAGCCGTGTTGCGACACTCGCGAATGCATCGGGAACGCAAAAGCGAGAATGCTTGATCACTTCCTGAACTGCTAAACCCCAACCTTTGACAGATGGGAACCCTTCTGCGGAGCATTCGGGAAAGCAGGCCGCGATCAGAATTTAGCATCAGCATGCTGGGCCAGGTCGTCTCCACAGCATCTTCTGCCTGTGCCTGCGCAGTGCTGCTGCAGGATAGCTCAGTGCTGACCTGGAGTCTCCAGGATCCTGGGCTTTGGGATTGGGACTTGGGCTAACAGGGGTAGTTCTGGCAAAGCTGTGAGATTTCATTTCCGGTTTGGAGTGTTCGAAGCGGTCTGGCACCAAATTCAGTGTTCAAAAGCTTCATTTTGTGTGCACGCATGGTATTGTGACAGTGCTGAGGCTATTCGCCACAAGCAGGCATCCTTTCATATCTTGCAGAGACGAGAAATCATATATTGCATACATATATATAGAGAGAGGCATTGGGTCTAAGACGATCTTCTTAAAGTACTGGGACAGTGGGTTGTCAAGGGATTCTGGAGATATCTCTCAGTGTGGAACCGAGATGTTTTCAGAAATACCCATCTCAGCCAACCTAGGATTGTGGCACTTTCGCAGCTGCAAATTCTAGCTCTGCCTTCATCGCTAAGCGACAGGAAGGCGCTGATACGCATTCCGGCTGGTCAAGCAACGTCAGAGATCTTACCGCAGCGCTCAGCTTTGGTGTGACCAAAGTTGTAGCTTCGCATCATCAGCACGCAGCACTGAAATCAGATGGCAGCGTAGTCCTTTGGGGGAACAAATATTGTGCAGCCTGCAGTCCGGCTCCATTACACGGGCTGCGCTCCGGTGTGGTGGATATTGTTGCAGCTAGCTCAGCATTAGCTGCACTCAAGGAGGATGGCACGGTACTGGCTTGGGGCGAGAGGTGCTGCGGCGGCGATACTTCCAGCATCACAGCAGCTCTCAAACAGGTGGCGAGCCTGCACGCGGCTGATGATTTCTTTGTGGCCCGGAAGTTTGACAGTAGTGTGGTTTCTTGGGGACGCAGAATTGGCAACCCAGCTGGCAGCCCCTTTATGGAGCCTTGGGCTATGTGAGCAAGTTTCACGATTCAACCCGCGGAACCTGTCTACTGATAGTGGATCAACATTATCAATATTTAGTACCTACACAAAATCTCCGTTCATATCTAAGGAAGCCAATGCAGACAAAGCCCTCCAGAATTCTACGACTCCGTATGTGGTCGTGCTGAAGCTTTGTTCTGCCATATGAATCCCTCGATTTGTTGCTTTCTCTGTAGATGATAAACATGAGAGATGCAATGGCTGCTTTTTGAGGAGGCGTGATGGGAGCGCAGCCATCTCGGACAACGATGATGGCCCGATGCTTCACGGCGCGGCAGCGACAACAAACCATGGCAACACTACGGTGCAGCGCTTGGAAATCTGGGCCCAAAGAAATGATAGGGCTTTGCTACCCAAAACACGTGTGGAATCTACTTGTCCAAGTATGTTGAGAGGTCCTGCGCTTGGCAGATGCCACTGGGAGCCATGGGCGAGATGTGAGAAGGTCAGTCCACTCCTCCTGCAAGCTGGCAGATGGCTTGCAAAGGACGGCAACTTGCGGTCTTTCCTTGTTGCTTTCACTAGTTTTACAGCAAGAGTTGTCATTGGGAGGAGCAGGGCCTTGCAAGAGGTCACCACAAGGCACGACAACGGTTTGCTCAAGGGAGGACCATGGACAGAAGTGTTACGCTTGAAGATGTGGGTCCTCTATTGCTCTGCACGAGATTAGCGCACAACCCAAACTGAGATCGAACTTCCTCCGCCTTGATGCAATGAAGCAGATTTCGCCCAAATTCCTACATGTATCCGAACATGCACGCGCCGCAACAACTAGTAACCTTCAGGCCTCCGTAGGAGGGAACTCATGTCTGTGTTGCCTGCACGTGTTGCAGCTCAACGTCCACGTTGACGACAACTTCGAGCACTAACACGGCAAGTTCAACTAGCACAGCCACGACTTCAAGCAGCACAGACACCTCGGTAACATCGTCGTCGTCCACATTCACTGCCACCACATCCACGTCAAGCTCAGTAACATTTTCAACTTCCACAAGTACTGCTTCCACAACATCATCATCCACCACCAAATCCCGAACGACATCCACAGCCACATCAGTCACCCGTACCAGTTCAACTGCAACTTCCGTGACTGTAACAATGACCACGGTCACCTTGACAACGTCTACCAAGACTAGCACCAGCATAACAGAGACTTCCTCCACAATAACAACCGTCACAACTTCTAGTTCCACTGCAACCACGGTAACAACATCGTCTACAAGTGCGACTAGTACATCTTCTTCGTCAAGCAGCAGCACAAGCACGACCTCCTCGAGCAGCAGCACTTCGTCTTCAAGCTCTACCTCAACCACAGCCACGACATCTTCTACAACGAAAACAGCAACAACATCCACATCAAGCAGTGCGACCTCAACAAGCTCCACCACAACGACTGCCACAACATCTTCTACAACGAAAACAATCACGACCTCTACATCAAGTAGCGCGACATCATCAAGCTCTACATCCACAACCTCTACATTTTCCTCGTCGTCAGTTACCCATACGACCTCCACGTCGAGCAGCGCCACGTCGACAAGCTCCACAAGCACAAGCTCTACCTCATCTTCTACAACGCGCACACATACGACCTCCACATCGAGTAGTGTTACTCTGCCTGCAAGGATGTGTTGATTTATTGTGTGGAACTACAGTCAGACAGCATTTCTGTGGAACTCTTGAAGCAACATGTTGGCTCATGTTGTCGGCTTGTCCCAGGCTACTTCATCGAGCTCTACCACAACCACGTCTACAACGTCTTCTACAACCAAAACACTGACCACCTCCACCTCCAGCAGCGCCACTGTGGCCATACTTGAAATCGCCATCCCAGAGCGCGCTTCAAAGCTGTGTAGATTTGACATCCCAAAGACTTAGCGAGTAGGAGCTCATTAAGTGTAAGGATGATGCAGATTGCAGACACCTCCCGAATATTGAGGCGACTTCTTCGAGTTCCACAATTTCAATCACAACCACCACTACGACATCTGCTACGTCCAGCAGGACAACCCTGACGACATCTTCTTCTACAGCAACCACGGTCACTTCATCGAGCTCCACTTCAACAAGCACAAGCAGCTCTAGCACTTCCAGCACCAGCTCCACTTCTACCCTGCAGGAGAAAGTTGCTGCCTGGTTGCAGCCAAGCCCAGCCCCCGTATTTCACAAGGGGGTGCAGGCGAGGCTCAATTCTTTGCATAGTTTTGCCACCAGCCGCAGCTGCAAGACCTTCCACTTGCATTGCGAGCAATAAGTAACTTCAATAACAGTCATGGAGAAGCTAAAGCCAGGCAGCAATTGCTTCAGGTTCTGCCAGACAGCCTGGCCGACACCACGGAAGGGAAGGCTGGGCAGGGTGTATCAATGCTGCCAACCTTGCTTAGCGCTTTGCATGGGAGACTTTGCACTCCTCCAGTCATAGCGGTGCACAAGAAGATGAATGCCCGCAAGCGAGCATGCATGCCTCAGGCTCTGTCTCTCTCTCTTTTTTTTTTTTTTT